AACGAAATTGGGTGAATACATCTCATACTACTGATTTACTGGTAGTCTCGAAACAATACTTTAATGCGAATAATACAGGACATTCAGTAGATTGATCCAAACACTTTTTTGCGGGTTACGGGGACTCCACATCAACGCATAAGGGAGCCGATAGAAATGGAAAAAAGCAGCCAACGTCCTGAATAGGAGGAAGGAGTGCAGGAAACTGAGTATGAACTATTTATGGCTGTTGAATAGGCTTAATGAGAGGGAGAAGGAGGGAGTTTAAGAAGAGCCAGTGAACAAGAGAAGGAAGCTGGATTAGCCTCAGATCTATCTAGGACCACCACATTTCCAAAGACATGAACATTGCATACACACAATAGACAATAGCACAAGCACAAACAGGGTTCAACATTAGAGGATCGTAGACTAATTTATTTGCGTAATGAAACAGCTGCAACCGAACGCAATTCCGGTTCGTGAAGTAACTTCACTCATTTGCAAGTGTGTAGTTAGTTTAAGGTAGACAACCAAAGCATGGGATGCCTCATTACGATCGCGAAGTTTGGAGTATAAAATGGCGACTAGGGTTGCAGCCAGCCACCTTTCTCTTGGTTTAGTATATCTTTGCTCTATTTTGTAAAGTATGGATTCCTGCTCTGATGATGTTTGTCACTCCGGTACAGACGAAAGAGTGGTCATCTAAATATTCCATTTTCTTAATAGTCACCGTAGCTTTTAAATGAGCTTTTACGAAGTTAGGCAAATGCCCTTTTGTGAGTCTTGCTCTATCTTTACTATTCTTTCATAACTCCAGGTCCTGGAAACGGAGCCAGATCACTTTTATTCAACGAAAGGAGTGTGACCAAAATAGAGGCCACTAATTATTGGTCTTCATATCTACCTTTAATATGAGATGTATTCACCCTATTTGGTCTAAGGTGATGAAGGACTGGGAGTAGAATTTTCCGAAAATTTGTTCTCATCCAGGCACCAGTGGACTGCAGTTTCGACCTGGCATGGGTCTTATCAACACCCTCAGCGAGAGTCGAACCGCGACAGTGCAGGATGGGAGCTTGACACGCTA